GCCTAGCAGAGAGATGGATTGTCCAGGCTAATGAGCAGCTGGTACAGGAGGTGCGTGCCTTCCGGCAAGAGTACGCTGAAAGCCACAGAGAGACCGCCTCCATCTTGCACAGCATTGCTGAAGCCCTGACTGGTGTCCACAGCAGCCTGTCTAAGATCCGGGATCTCTACCTCCGCCAGCAGGTGGTACCCAAGCCATGAGGGATATACCAATAGAAGATGCTGGGCACCTCTAAGTGTATATGCCCTTTCACGGATAGGTGTCAGCCATCCTAGAAGTGATTGTATGGACAAGTAATTATTTCAGTTACTGAGATGGGCATGCAAGGGTGAATTGTCAAGGTTGGCCTTTGGAGGGTAACTACATGTTTGGGCTGTTTTAATAGTGGTATGGTGATAGCTGCATATTTTAATAATTTATTGTTAATATTTAATATTTGTTATTTGTTTTTATGTTGTTTTACCTTATTGGTTTTAATATTGTAGGTTGCCATAAGAACCTTCAAGCAAGCAGTGACTAAAAATCTAATTAATGAATAATTTTTTACCTTCCATTCTCAGCTCAATAAAACTGCGAAATGTAAATCTCTTCTTAGGAGTTTGTTAGGAGGCAGGGCTTGTCTGTAGTAATCTTGTACAGAATCCATTCTTTGCTTTAACCTCCCTGGAAGAGTCCCATTATCACTAACAATTGGTAAATTAATCCTAGTACTTCTGCTGCCTCCATTTTCTTTCCTTGGTCTTTGCTTCTACTCGATACTTGCCTGCTTCTAAACTGCTACTCCCTCTTAAGTGTACTCCCTCTTAAGTGTCCTCCTCATGGATTAAAACTTGTTGTGGAGTTTGCATAGGGGTGCCCTTGGTCAGAAGTATCACCAAGGGCTACCATTCTGTCATTTATTGTGGAGGACTGCTGTAGATCTAAATGGTAGTACTCTATAGTACATAATTTAAGGCTTATGGCATATGGCCGAAGTGTCCATGGTATGAATACAGAATTCTTGTTAGGCTACTTTGACTGGCCAAAGCTCCAAAGGGTATCCAAAGATGGATTTCTTAAGACAAAATAACCCTCGTGTGTATCAAAGCAATGGGTATAAGACCCCTGGTTCACAAATCCCCCTTTACCTGCTAATAGATGCTTCTCAGTGGAGGACAAAACCCAGAATTTCTTTGCCTGAGATGTGCAAATCAATCCACATTACTATTTGTGACAGAAGTGCATGTGATCCATGGAACATTATAGAATATTCCTATGTAACATGGGAACCTTATGTGCCTGTTGGGGCCTAGCCCAATCAGGACTATTTTGTTTTCTGAGGGACGATACTTCATGGGGAAAGAAACACAGAGAAGTGCTCTGAAAATGAAGGACAGTAGTATGAAAACTTTTAATTAAAAAAAATGAAGGACAGTACTGGGGGGTGGATTGAAGCTGCAGGAATATTTTTGTAAGCCAAGAGAACTGATACAAATCAGTCTTGTATTGTCATGGCAACCAGATTTTAGCTAGATGTTTAGGGTATGTGGGCTGGGCTAGATTGGTCTAGTTTTTCCCCTTATTTCATCTGTTCCATTAGGTACCTATATCGACAATTTACATTTTAGGCTCTGAGAAGCTTACCTTTGCATTTGTTGAATGAACAGTGGTCCTTTATTATTCTTTTCCAGTTCTTTGAATTGCCTTTTGGGGAAATCACATCATTGCAGTCTAATCAGGCAGGGGTGTATATACTCGGTTATGCATCTCCACCAGAAGGATTCTAAAGTGTAATTAAAGGGTCTAAGCAGGGTATGGAATTCCTCGTTTGTGATGGATAGCCATGTTAGTCTGCCTGCAGCAGTAGAAAAGAGCAAGAGTCCAGTAGCACCTTAAAGACTAACAAAATTTGTGGCAGGGTATGAGCTTTTGTGAGTCACTGCTCATTTCTTCAGATATCTGGAGAAGTTAGCAATGACTCATGAAAGCTCTTGTTTGTGTAGTGAGAGCTTTTGCCTCAGGCGAGCAATCTCAGTTAACAACCTATAAATTATTTATTACGTTTGCATCGTTTCCTTCCCCCAAGCAATCCAGGGAGGTGTACAAAGGTGTTATGCCATTCTTATCCTCAAAATTACCATAAAGTAGATTAAACTGAGGAGCAGTGACAGGCCCAAGGTCATTGGACCTTGTTTTCCTTAGCTCAGCATTCTGGCTATTGCACACTAACTTGGACCCAACAGAGGATTTCTGTGGACAGAATGGCTTCTGCATGACTTTCTCATTTCCTCCTTCCCCCTGCAGTCCCAAATGCCCCTCCTTTGGGGGCCATTTTGAGCTGTGGTGGGAGGCAAGAAAGCCATGCTCCCCAAGTGGAATTTGTTCCATTTGTGGAAACTCTTCTTTGGCTCCAAGCTACTGGGCACTGAATGTATGAACAAGCCTTTTTGTCCCCATGCTCAAATCAAACCTCTGCCTATCCCTGGTATTATTACAACAATCCTTACTGGCGAGGCAAAAGTGAGAATCTCCCTTCCTGAAACAGTTTTATTGCAAAAGAAAAGAGTTTTGTGGTTCCTTAAAGATGAACAGATGTATTCAGTCATAAGGTTTTATTATGGAACAGAACCCACTTAAACAGATGAATGTAGTATTCTTCAACTGGCTGATACATACACATGGCTACCACTCTGGAATTTGTAACCAAACAGTAGAGGACTGTTTTGTTCTCATTTTCTATAAATCCCAAGACACTCAAATGTTTAGCCTCCTATCTATGAATGACTGTGCAGAGTCAGCATTTTTCTTTACAGCAGTTCTTCAAGAGACAGGCCAGATATGTCATCTAGGATATGATCCCACATGCTGTGGGTTTGCAGTGGAAATATGTACATTTCAAACGACAGATTTTTGCCTTCAGAGTCACCAAAAAAGTTGTCCTGAATTAGACAGATAAAGAGCATAACTGACATGAGAGACACTATATAGGAAATTAAATATGCACTCACACAAACACACACAAAGCAGAAATCTGAATTTACAAATTTAATCCACATTTTAGCAAACATTTGATGATGCACATATGTCATTCTAACTACAACATGGGTTAGCAGTGGTAGCTTCTACTGCTGCCACAGATCTATTGGGTTAAATGTAAAAAATGATCATTTGTCTTGGAAGCACAGAAGCTTTATGCAGTATCCGCGATCCTCCACGTTTTCTGGTTAAGGGGAAAATGCTGTTCAAACAAATTACAAAGGTGATCTGACTCCAATGGTAACAAGAGAAAGAAATTTTACTTACAAAAATAGAAGCACATCTTACATGACATATTCATGTAGGTACATTTAACTTATTGTGAACAGATTAACTTCAAAAAAGTTAACTTGCTACAGCTCCAAGCCAGGTAAGAGAGAAGAGAGGTCCTATATAAGAAAAAAAACAAGGCAAGCAATGGCCAGAGAGCCTCAACATCTAACGGAGGAGCGGGTGGGGCCAACTGCCAAGTGTACCTGAGTGAGAAAATTCTCTTAACCCTTTCCCTCCCAGATCCTCTTGCATGCAGAGTTACAATATCCAACAAGATTAGGGCCATCACCACACAGTGGGAACAACGTTTAGGCTGGAGGGGACAATGGCTAAGGCTATTAATCCCTCCTGCTGTAAAAGTGGTGCTCCCTGTTTAGCAGCAGTATGCAGACATCAAAGTGTAGAAGGAGAAGCAAACCCAGAGGCATTTTCCAACAGTCAATTTCCATAACAAATCCACAGACTGGGTCTAAAATGACATGCACTGTTCAGAAGAAGGGCCCACAAGAGAGGTAAATACACAGAGTGCATTGCTTCCATTCACAATGGGTCCACTGATTTGCTGAATTGCTAAAAGCTCTGAGCTCATGGGGAACTATCACACGGCTTGGATATTGTCTTATAAAGGAGACGGATTGGATGCAGAAGAGTTACCCGGTTTTTGCACAATGACTGCCTTTGTGCTTTGGATGGTGCCTTCTGCCTCTGTTGCACTATGCCTTTCTCTGTTTCAGGAAATTTAAACATAGATTCCGTTTGTTGTATGACCCGATCCAAAGGCTGCCTATATTTGCACTTGCTGAGCCTTACACCCCCAACCTCCACAGATGGGACACTGCAAAGATTTGAGAGGACTACAGTTAGAGTCACTGTACATGTTCACCTTACACTGTGGTTTGCGGCCCACATGTATTAATTCCATCTGGCTGCTTTTGAAGTTCAAATGTATTTTTGCTCTCTCTTCCTTCCTTGAGGATTGTATGGTTCTGTTCCTTTTCTTCTGATGAAGGGAGCTGTGACTCTTGAAACCCCAAAAATCTTGTTGGTCTCTAAGGTGCTACTGGATTCAAAGCTGGGTCTTTCCTTCTGTTAACCATTGGCTGCTTCCAGATGGGGTGTGAAAAAACACCTTTGTCATGGCGGCGGCAGCAGCAGCAAAGCAGCATGGGAATGTGTAAGATCAGTGTCAACATGCCCTGTTATCAAGCTTGCTCTGCACCCCCCTCCCCACTTCTCACTGTAGCACATGCACTGGCTTTTCCCACAGCCTATAACCCTCCCCTTTAAAGGGCTTTTCCCCCTTTCTTTTTTCTAGCCACACAACTGTTATAGCATGGTGTGATCAATCCAAAAAGAGCTTTGGGGGAGCATCCCCATGAACACACCAGCTGCAGTTTTCCCTTTAACCTAGATAAAATTAGATGTATACTTTCTCCATAATAAAGGGTTAAAAAAAAGGAGCTAGACAAATCATAAGTTGGTTGAGCACTATGATGTCTGGACACTCTTCTTTACTGCAGGGTCTTCCTGCTGCCCTTGCAGGGAATAATCTCCATGTGGAAGCAGCCATTCCCACTTTTTAACCCTTTCCTTAACATACATCCTCTCCTTTATTCTCCCTTATTTACAGAAGCCTGTACAATCTTAAAGGC